GATTGCTTAAACTATTATACTTGTAAATAATAATGGAAAACCATAAAGAATGTATGAGAACTTGAAAAGAATGGATCTTGAAAACAAAAAAATGCTTTGAATTAAGAAAAGAATTTAGAAAACAATTTAGTATCATCTAATCTATCACCTTGATCAAACTACAAAGAAATCTAAAAAGAAACTAATAGAATTGAAATTAAAGAAAAGAAAATAGAGAAGAAAAGATGAGATGTTGTGTGAGATGAGCTGAGATGTTTTGAATATAAGAGAACTTTTCTATTTATAATGGTGGGCTCAGCTAGGATGGGGATTAAGGTAACAAAATCCTAATTTGAATTCTAAGAGATTACACATTGTCCTGAACTTATAGAGTTATGGCCAAGTGTAACTTTTTCATTCTTTGAGTGCCTTAGCTAAATAGGACATCTGGGGTTGAATCTTAATCATCCATGTGGTATGTAAATCTTGATATTTCAATCTTGATAGGTGGTTTAGCTAAGCATGGTTATCAAGACCATGTAATTGCATTTGATTCAAACTATTGAGATAAATTTATAAGAGTTTTTCTTTTATCTAAACTCTTAGCCTTTACTCTTGTATATTATTTGACTTGTATGAAAAACTTTCAAAATTGATCAAAAAGTCATTGTCTTGCAAAATGTCTCTTGGTCGAATACAATAAGGTATCCATATAAGTCTTCAATCTCCAATGGCATGTAAGAGTTCTTTTGTAAATAGGATAACTGAACATATGTAAGAGTTTTAGTTCAATTAGGATTCTTTAATCCCAGTGAAATTAGGAAACCAAATACAAATGGGATTCGGCTATTCTTCTTCTAATATGGTTGAACAAGATAATGATTAGGCTTTTCCTAATCTTGCATGGATCTTTCATGAATTTGTACGGAATTCACATTCATATAAATAAAACTTAAAAACCAAGAAAACAAACATTAAAAACACTAAATTCTATTAAAATTAAACATTTTTGAATTAAAAAGGACTTATAAAACATTATATATTTTACTATTATCAGCAGCAAACTTCATTATAAGATTGTCAAAATTTACAAAGTTGAGAGAACTTTCAAAGAACCCAATACCCGAATACTCTTATAAGCACTTCAGAATAATTCTACTTAACACTCACCCAATAGATATTTTATTATATCTTTATATATATATATAATATTAATGATGTGTTTGGATTGAAGGGAGGGGAGAAAAAGGAAAGGAAAATAAAAAAAAGTAAAAGAAATGAAATCCCTTCCCTTGTTTAGATAAACTTTTAATTTAAAGAAAGTAGAAGAGGTTGGTTTTCTTTGTAAACCAAATAACCTTTGGTTTCTCTTGTAGATTCAATTTTTTTAATATCTCAATTTAGAGGAAAGGCTACGGAAAGAAAAGTTGAATTTTTTTTTATAAAAAACTATTATATTCATTTTTTTATTAATACTAAAAATCTAGTCAAAAAAACCTAACCACATCATAATCATTCTATAATTTTTTCAAAGTCTTTTTTTTTCAAGTAAGTTTTACATGTCTTTTTCAATATAAAAATTTTTTATAATTTTTTAGTGATTTGATTTTGATGAATGTTTGAGTATGAATATGCATATTTTTTGGGTTTATGAGATGTCAGACTAGCTCAAAATTTTTTATTTTTATATGTAGTATATCATAATTTGAGTTTGATTAGTCAACAAAATAATAAAAAAATATACACGCTTTTTTCGTCAAAAGATATACATACTTTCTTGTCAAAAAGTACTATTTTGACTAGAGTTTTATATATATATATATATATATATATATACACATATATGAGACAACTCCAATGGATTGATTTCTTTGGTTAAAAAGTGGTGGTATTATACTGATTTCTTTAGGTCATCTATAAATAAGTGTACAGAATAATTAATTACAATTGCATTGCATTAATCATCAATTGCAAAAACTGCTATATATCTTTAACAAAGTTCAACAATTTACTGAACCTAAGAACCAAATATAGCAACCGAAATGTGGGTGATCAATTAAAATATAATAATAAATAAATTTGGATTTCTCTAACAAAGCATCAGAAAAATAATATTGTAATACCATGACATTATAGAAAGAAAAATGGAAAAAGAAAACAGCATGAAATGATTCATTGAAATACAATTAACTTGCTATGATTATAAACATATTTGTATGCTTTTCACACAAACTTAATTCGTAAATATTAGTATTATAATAATTAATAGATGTGAGTAATTGATAAATATTAGTATTGTTATTAATAGTAGTATGTATGATTTATTGTTAAATGCCTAATGTCTCAAAATTCTCTAATTCAATTTTGTTTTAATATTATTTTCTCTCATAAAGTGTTAATGTATTTATTTTTACAATAATAATAATAATTGTTAATATTTTATTGTATAGATGGATAAACAAAGAAATGAGACAATGGTTGAGTATTTTTGGAGAGAAAATCATCGAATGATAGTTTTCTACATTAGGCATTTAGCTGTTTATTGGTATGTACGTAAAAAACGATCACAAAAAAAGTTATTGATCATTGTATAAGTCTAGAAATGATCATAAAAAATATTTTGTTACATAAGTTTTTAATTAGTTAAAATAGTTTTATCTTTTTTAGGATAGAAATATTTATTTTTTATTTTGATAAAATAAATTTATGTTTGACAACTATATGGTAATATGTTATTACTTTTTGTTTGGTGTAAAAAAGGATATATAATTTGCTTGTATATAATGTTTTTATGTGATTGCATTTTTTATATTTAATAATTTTATATGAATATGTCACCAAAATGATAATGTGTTGAAATTTTGGCAATGGCAAAAAATTTTATAAAATATCTTTTTATTTCACTTGATTAAAAACTATTGATATAACAATAATTGTAAGGTCAGACAAGATAATAAACATGTTATGATTCAAGAGTGTTTTAAAATCACAGGTAAAATTATAATTGAAAAAATATATTGTAATGAATCATTTTTTTTCACTTTTTATTCAAATAATAGTTGTTAATTTTTTTTATTAATTTTAATTATCCAAATAAAGGAAATATGTATTTTTTTTATTTTTAATTATCTTTATTTATTAATATATATCTAAATATAACGTAAGAAAATATGATTTTTCTCTTCCATTTGACTTCAAACTCTATATGTTTGTGTTTTACTTAAATTGAATAACCAAAAAAGCTTTGGGTTACCATTGATCAAGTACAAGTAAAATTCTTTGCTGACAATAACTCTGGGAACTAGAAATAAATGGAAAACAAATTTGATTTTAAATTTTAAATCATCATGTAATAAATTTTTACCTTGACTTAAAATTTTTTTTATTATTCAAATAGTGAATTTAACCTTCTCATTTAGCCTAGATAACAATTTTTATTGAGTTGAAATCAAAATTTTTATTGACTTTATATCATCAATTTGTCACTCGTTTCGCTTACTGTTAATAATTAATTAAATACTGATGGTGGAATTCATTGGATTAGTGGAGGATAATGGTTGAGAAAATCTTTTTGTTCTTTTTCTTATGTTGTTGTGTGAAACCAATGCTTCGGTCAAGAGTTAACTTGATATTAACGTGTATGATAATATTTAAGATTTTTTTAAAAGAAAAAAAATAATGCTGACATGTTTTAACTTCTAAATAAATATTTAAAAATGATTTTTTAGAATCATCCTATTCCTAATTTAAGTAAAAAGTTTGCCTTTATTTTTATTTTTTTATGATTTCTTCCCTAGTCCCAACTCTGTCTCCCTAACTGTAATTTTCTTTCTCTTTGTTTTATTTTAACAATAAAAATAAGATGTAATAATTAAAATTAAAAGTTTAATATTATATTAACAAATTAAATAACTATAGGCAATTAATAAAAATTTGCATTATCATATATTTAAGGTTTACTTCCAATCAAAATATCTTCTTGTAAATTGAATAATTTTTGTAGTAAAATAAATTCATTTGATAAAATTTTTTTTAATGAAATTAGTTTTATTTATAAATAAGCTAATTTTATTAATATTTATTTTAATATAAAAAATTAAAAATGATAATTCAAAAATATAATAAACAATATATTCATTTTCATAAATTCAAAAATTTTAACATTTTTAATATAATATATATATCTTTATGAGCAAATATCAATTTATATGTGATAAATTTTAAAAAATTTTACATATTTTTTTAATTATTGATTTTAATTAATTAAAAACTAAACAATAAAAAATAATTTATTTGTTATTCATCATGACACCTTAATTATACTACAAATTTTTACTTCCCCTAGTTTCCTCCATTTTGTTAAAGGGTGATGCTAAATGCATTCTTATTTTTTTCTTTAAATTTTAAATTTAAAAAATTTTTTAAGTAAAATTATTTAATTACTTTTTTCATAATTTTTTGAAGTTTTATAATATAAAAAATTCGAAAAATCATATAATTTTTTAAAAATTAGTTTTCAAAAATCATAAATTTTTTTGAAAATAAATTTTTGAAAAATTATAAAATATTTTGAAAAGTTAATTTTTTGAAAATTTATTTCGAAAGGTTTTATAATTTTTTAAAAATTTATTTTTAGAAAGTTATATAATATTTTAAAAAATTATTTTTGAAAAGGTTTATAATTTTTTGAAAATTTATTTTTAAAAATTTGTATATAAAATAAAAGATAATTAAGTAATTTTATTTTAAAAAATAAAAAAATTGAAGTGTAAAAAAAAAAAATTTGCTGGATGCATCTAGCATCAGTGTTATTTAATAAGATTTATCTTTTATTTTTGGCTTTTCCATCACTCTCTCGTCGGTGCCGGCCCCTCCTTGCGTACCTAGCGATTTGTTTATTTATATGTTATAAAAAATTAAAATTTATATATTTATATCATATTTTATAAAAAAAATTATATGTTAAAATTATATTAATATAAAAATATAAAATATAAAATATTTTATTTTATTAAATTTAAATATAATAATTATTATAATTTTAAGCCTTGCCATTTTTATTTTCCCTTTCATTCCTCCGTCAATCTTTTCCCCTCTATTTTCTATCACCATCGCTCCCTCGCCTCCTTCGTCGGGCCAGCGTGCTGCCTCTGCCTGCTGTTACCTCTTTCTATCTGTCCTTTTTCTTTCTTTTCCAGAAATATCGAAAATGAAAAAGAAAAACTGACAAACCTATAATGCCCAATCGAACAGACGAAAGAAGACGAAAATACCCTTAAACTTTTTAAAATTCCATATTTATTAGACTATATAGGGGATATTAAAAAAATAAAAAAGAAAATTACGTATTATCAGGGGACTGGAGAGTGGTCTTTCTCTTTGATTTCTGCCATTTTAAAGATTTGCAACATTTAGATCTCGGGTTCCTCCAACTCAACCTGATGGATTCTTCGGTTGTGCTTTTAAACCAGCTTAAGGTGATGGTTTCCCCTTTTTGGCTTTTTTTTTTTTTTTTTTTTCAATTTTAACTTTAAACTGTAGTCGTTTGTAAATAATTTTTATGAATAAATGTTGAATCTCAGAATGCTGAGCCATTTTTCTTGTTAGCTGGTCCCAATGTGATTGAATCTGAAGATCACATTTTAAGGATGGCTCACCACATCAAGACTATCACTACCAAGTATGATTTTTTTTTTTTTTTTTGAATCATATGTGCAAAAAGACTTGAGATTGATTGCTTTAGTAGAAAATGCACAAAAGCTATGATCCTTCTTTCTCTGAATGATATCTTTGTTTTGTAAATTTTGTAGGCTTGGGTTGCCCTTGGTTTTCAAATCAAGCTTTGATAAAGCTAACCGAACATCCTCCAAATCATTTCGGGGTCCGGGAATGACTGAAGGCTTGAAGGTTCTTTAGATTTTGTGTTTATTATTATGTTATTATTATTTGCTTATTTACATGACATGGCTGCTTTCGTTACAATGAATAATACACGGTTGCCTTCATTGTATTTTGTCTATGGCTCTATGGATACTATCAGTACATAACTATGTGTGTGCAATTGTTTGATGAGGATCTGCAGAGTTTGTTTGTAAGTTTGTTATTGAACTTACAATGTGTTTCTACATTTGTAGTGTTTGTTTTTCCTACTATTCTGTGACAATTTGTTCTGGAATTGCAGATATAATGTCTATAAAATTTGTGCAACTTCGTCTTGGAAAATCAATACATTATTGATATTCATATTTCTGATTTTTTTTTTGGGTGCAGATCCTTGAGAAAGTTAAAGTAGCATATGACATTCCCATAGTAACTGATGTCCATGAAACTATTCAGGTAGAGGAAACCTTGTATGTCATCTATCTATAAACAAACTTTATTATTTATTTTAACTCTATGTTAGTGTCTTGTTTGGATACATTGTGCATATGATTTCTTTGGATTATGAAATTTTTTGCTGAAATCAAAATTTCCATGTCGGACTCCATTACTAACAAAACTTTCTAGATGTTTTTCGCGCTTGCTTTTCCATATTATTAATTTTGCTAGGAGCAGAAAAATGACATGTCAAATTGGAAGTGAGCATGTTATGAACTTGTACACTTTTTGCTGGGGCGGTTAATTAGTTCATTATACCTGCCATTTACTCTATAGCTTGCATAACTATCACATATCTGTCTGTTTTATCAGTGTGAACCGGTTGGAAGAGTTGCTGATATTATTCAGATTCCAGCATTTTTATGTCGCCAGGTTAAGCTGACATTTTATTATTAATAGCACCTTTCCATGTTTAAAAAAAAAATGGTTGACCTTGGTGCTTGGTTGACTATTTGTCAATTTTTATTTGACAGACAGATCTTCTAGTTGCTGCAGCCAAGACTGGAAGAATTATCAATATCAAGAAAGGCCAGTTCTGTGCTCCTTCTGTGAGTGTTCTGTTTTTTTCTACTTTCACAAAATTTGAAACTCTACTTATGTATTTTGATTACGACTCAAGTATATGCAAACTCTACTTATTTGTTCTGATTGTACATGGATGTTCATTGTAATTATGCATATTTGTAGGTCATGGAAAATTCTGCTGAGAAGATTAGATTGGCCGGGAATCCAAATGTGATGGTTTGTGAGAGAGGCACCATGTTTGGCTATAGTAAGTTATTCTGGACTTTTTGGCCCAAAAGGAAAGAGGTTATTTTGGATCTATATTTAGGTTCTTTAAGAAGGTTTTCTTGGTTCATACATAGATCTATCATTGATTTGTGTTCCGTGTACACTTTCATGCCAGTGAGTGGAAATAAGGCAATAATAGAGAATGTTAATGGAGATTGGTTCGCAAATCTGTCTATTAATTTTCACACATATGCTTCAAGAACTTATGTAGGAAAGAGTAGAGTTAGGTTGGGTTGGCTAAGAGTAGATAATTTGATTTGTTGACTGATGTTAAAGCATTCAAACTAAAACTAGTTGGTCACAGGTGGTGCTGCTGTCCACCTTGAATGTAAAGCCTCAAGAAAACTCCTGACTAAATGTTATGTAGCATCACTTATCTCTCCCCTCACTTGTAGGCCAATAAACAATTTATAAAAAGGGCCCTATAAAGTGCACATGAAAACAAGGCAATGGATAACATGGGGTCTGGTTTTTTGTTGTGTATCGAACCCAACAGCTAGTTGGCAATAGTTGGACAGGGCCCAATCTCAATATAATGCCATAACTAACCTTCTATACCCATGTGGGACAACACTAGGTAACACATAACAAGATAAGAAAAATGTATGTGTGGACTCAGGAATTCTATTTTTGAGAGGCATATGTACAATCTTAGCACATTTTAAAATTTAACTTGTGAATGCTTATTTTTATACTTTTCTTTTATTCGGTTTCCCACACTTAGACCTTCTCTGGGGGTGGTGATGGGGTTGGGTGGGTTGTGTTCTCCTTTGTCCTATGGATTTATGCTTTAGAAGAAATCTTTGTGATCTTCCCATTTTCTATTCAAGCATCTAACATAACATTGTACCTCCCTGCATGATATTTTGAAGGGGCGCAAGGTATTACCACCAGAAAGTTAATATTATAAGATTTTGTTTGGGGAACATTGCAGGGAGGGTGCAATTGTCCCTGCCTTGCCATCAGCTATTAATGTTTGGAACTTTTTTCTATAGGTACTGGTGGATTTATGTTTCTGCAAAAATTCAAGTGCTCATCGATTTTTCTCTATGATCAATGCTTAAATAAAATATTGATTTTGGTAGTGTTTGGTTTGTAAAATCCATTTCCATTTTTATTTTCTATTTTTATTTTCTAAAAACACTTTTCATTATTTATTTTCGATTTCATTTGAAAATGTGTTTCGTTAATTAAAATAAAGGATCATTTCTGAAATGAAAAAAAATGTGTTTGGTATTGTACTTTCTATTTGTTAGACCAGATACTATTGGTCCATAATGGTCCACAAATTGTGGCCATCAAATGGTTGTCCAATAAAGTTAGGACCTGTGAAAAGTGAAAAGCAATGGGACTTGAGCTTTTTTATTAAAGATTTAACATTTGCTTCTATATTTGCTTTTTGGGAGTATTGAACACAGGATGGGAATGAGGTTCGTCAGCTGGAGTTGTTTACTTAAACCAGACAAAGCCTTAGTCTTTTATTTTTCCTTTTGCATTCTAATATTGTATATCAACCCTTGTTTTGTTGTATCGAAATTTAACTGTAATTCAAGCCTAAGATCACCTCTAATGAATATTCAAATTGAACTTATGGATGCCTTAGTTATTTTTGCTTATCCCTTTTGATTGATCTTACAGAATTGGTTTTGATTTACAGATGATTTGATTGTTGATCCACGTAATTTGGAGTGGATGAGGGAAGCAAATTGTCCTGTTGTAAGCAAATAGTTTATGTTGTGTAATTTCTACACTTTCTGATGTTTCTTTTCCCTTGAAAATATTTAAATCATGCACTCATACACTCAGGGGTAGCCCTTATCTTGTCCTTTAATCACTGGAGCTAGGCCTGGTTGACTATAGTCTATGAGTTTTGCTTCAGATTTTGTTCGGTGATAATCTGCCAAGATACTTTCACTGTAAATGAAAAAAAAAAAAAATCTTTGCTAAAATATTCCAGATAACATTAATTTTTTTTTTTTTGCATATGCCTTTCAATTGCTGTTTGTCTCTACTATGTTTATGAATGAAGAGACATTCTGCAAATGAAAAGTGATTATTTGCATAATGACTTTTTGTTCCTTTGTGTATAACTTGAACAATTTGTGCTCCATTTGCCTGCCATTACCTGGTGGACTTCACATCTGATTCAAGTATTTCACTCCAGGTTGCAGATGTCACACATTCGTTGCAACAGCCAGCTGGAAGAAAGGTGGGTATAACTTTGCATTTGACTTTTTATTTTCCAAAACTAGAATGTGCTAGAGTGCTCCCTTGTTATGGTTATGGATAGTTTTACCGGTTAACCAATATTCTGATATTTTATATGTTCTTTTAATCTGAATTGTTCAAGAAGTTGGAAAGGACCTGTCAATCTGTCACTGCTTTTGAATTGGGATAGTTGACTAACATTATTATTGTTATTGTAAGGACACTCTTCATGGGATAGGCCAAGGTAGATATAATTTTAATTGAAAGGTCTTTGAGCTTAAATCTGCATGCTTCACATTCATTATCATATTTGCTCTTCATTTATTAATATTTGTTTTTCGGAGGGATGGTTGATAGAAACAGTTGGAACTACTCATTTTTGAATTTTGATGCTCCGAGAGCTGTTTCATACATTCAAGGTCTAGCATATTTGAGCTAAGGGTTAGTTAATTTTAGGGATAAAGTTAAATTTTTCTATTATATTGTTGGTCAATATTAAAAATTTTCCATTATACTTAAATTTCGTTCAATTTGCCACTATTACTTTCAATTTTATTGAATTTTGTCATTGTACTTCCAATTTTGTTGATTATTGGACAAAAAGTAATGGAATCAGAATATTTTACAAAATATGTTGTTAATACAAATAACAAATTTTATCTTCGTAGTTTCAATTTCATTAATTTTTGGACAAAAAATAATAAAATTTGAAATTTTCACATTATACTTTGTTAATAAAAATGAAAATTTTCTAGCATTTTCATGACCAAAAATCAACAAAATTGAAAGTACAAAGGCAAAATTCAACTAAATTGAAAATACAGTGGCAAAAATCATTGAAGTTGAAGTGCAGTGAAAATTCAATATTGATCTATAGTAAAATTCACCTTTAGCCCTTAATTTTACTAAAAAAAGATAATATGGATGCAAAGCATCGTTAGCTGTCTTTTGCTTTCTAGTTTTTATTCTTTTGCCCTATCTTGGACCGAAGGGAAGGTTAGTGCTAACACAAACTCACTTAATGGCATTAATGGAGAAAGCTCCAAAAATTGCAGTAATTCTTCCTATATGTTTTGCATTTCATTGTTGGTAATTCTGTCCATTTGATTTTGTGTTATCAAGTATTGATCAGAAATATTTGTAATATATTAGGTAGAGGATTGACATATCTATGGCAGCTAAGGATTGACATATCATGGCAGCTATTCTTTCTATGCCTCTTTCTCTGCTAAATACTTTTGCTTGCTATTGTTATTGTTCTTTACGAATATAGGTTTCTTGATCCTAGTTTGTTTCCCTTTTTGTTTCTTAGTTCATATTGCTTTTGAGTTTTATTTTCTATAAATAGTTAAATCGCTGCTTTGTTATATAGTTGGATGGTGGAGGTGTGGCCAGTGGAGGCCTTCGTGAGCTGATACCATGCATCGCAAGGACTGCAGTTGCTGTTGGAGTGGATGGAATTTTCATGGAGGTATATTTTGCTTGATTGCCTGCTGGAAATGTGTAATGTAAAGTATTTAAGAGCTTATAACTGGAGTTCTGGGTTGGCTTTTGCTCAAATTACAATAAACAGGCATTGCCTTTTACTTTGATTATTGAATTGCATGTCTGAAGAATAAATTCTCATATAATTTCCATATTGATTTTATTTTAGTTTGGACATCTAAAAGTTTCTCTTTGATATTTAGGTGCATGATAATCCTCTGAATGCTCTGGTTGATGGTCCAACTCAATGGGTGAGTTGAATTTATAGTTTACACTTGCTTAATACAAGCACACATTTGCTTAATACAAGCACACATTGTGTCTTTAGGTCCTCAGAGGGTGGATTCATGTAGACAAGTTTTATTATCAGACCATATTACCAAGCTGTAAACTTATCAAAATATGTTTTGCTTGTTACTGGAGATAGCCACTGCGCCATTTGGAGGAACTTCTGGAAGAGCTAATTGCCATAGCTGTAAGTTCTTTTCCCATCCTTGATGTGAATGGTTGTGTTATAGTGTTTCCAGTTGCTGCATGGTAAATAAGCAATTACATGTATATGTAGATGGGATGCTGTCAAATTATTTCAATCTCCCAGACATGTCTAAGCATACATCTATTCTTGGAACTTTCTGTTTCACTATCCCCTCTTTTCCTGAGGACCTAAAGAAAAGGAAAAGATATTTTTATGATACTACAATTTGTCTGTTCAAATATTAATACTGTTATTGATACTGAACATTAATATCAATACAGACAATGTGTAGAAAGGTTTTCTTTCTTTTTTTTTTTTTTAAAAATTCAGATCAGTGATTAAGGCAGTGGGTTTTCTTTTGTGAGATTTTAAGCCTCAGCCTACAAGATATTTGAGGAAACTGAAAAGAAGTGAATGTCTGAGTCTTGGTCCAGGTAACGAAGGGTAATAATGGCCAAAGATAGGTTAGTGAGTTCACACGGGAACTGAAAAATTGGTTTTTTTATTATGACAAAGGGAGTACAAGGAGGAGGAAAAAAAAGATAACTTGGAAAGGTAGGGATATATTGTAGTTGTTGGTATCTTAAACTGTTATTGAATGTTAGAGAGGCTGAATGGGCCTGTTGGAAGATCTGTCAAAAACTACCTCAAGGGGTGGAAAGCCAATTTGATTTGATTTGGCTTGGTCTGCTTGGAGAGGTTTGCTGTAATATGTTGATGAGAAAATTAGAAGATTAAGAAGGTGCTTGGCCTAGCTTATTGAAGAGTTTATCTATTGCAAAAGCAGAAGCTAGGTGTTTGGCTCTCAAAATTTTAAGAATTTTAGTTTATGTGGAAAACATATTTGAGCTTTTAGGCGAAGCTATAAATCAAAGCTTTTTCACTAAGTGATAATTTTAATTGCAAGTCTTAAATGAAACTTTTTAAATTCTCACTTTACTTTTCAATAGTTTACAAAATTATAAAGAGGATTATTATTTCACATTATTTTTTATTTTGTCCATTTTTCTATTGAATTTATTTATTTTATTATAATTAACAAAATATATCTTTATTTTATTTATTTAAAAAACTTGTGATTTAATTTAATAAAATTGATTATTTATTTTCTATTAAATATTTATTAAATATATACAAAAATATTACCAAATAGTTTTTTCAACATTTTACAGCATTTATGTATTAATTTTAATAAACACTATTTTAGCTTCTCTTTACAGGACTTTTAGAGAAGCTTTACTCCAGTAGCACTTCTCATAGAAGCTTCAGCCTAGCCAAACATGCACTAATCCTTTCTTGCAATTTTGTGGATTATGTGGAGGAAGAGTTATAGGAGGCCTTTGAAGGGCTCCTGGATAGTTGGTTTTATAGTGTCACTTCATATTTTTTATTCAAAAGGCAGCAATTCTTGATATATTGGATACCTATGATTTTCTTCATTTATTGCTTAGTAATAATAACTGGCATTGTGCTTCGGTTGGAAACCCCTTGGTGCCTTTTAGTGCATCATTTTCTTAATTTATGAAATAAGTAGGAATGTTGGTATTAATCATTTCTTCAATTGATGTTTTCCAGAGGGTAAGCAAAGGGAAGCTACACTTCAACATTGATCTCACACCATATTCTGATTAGGAAGATGTCAAGAGTTCTATAAGTGAGTAGCAGGTAATTATCATTTCAGTCATGGCATTATTAATGTTGAACTAGCGGTTTTATGTCATTACAAAGAACAAAGTAGATGTCTCTTGGCAGTAACTCCACATGCTATGCTATTCTGTTGTTTGATAATGTCTTTTAGCTAAAGGCAAAGATTAGGACTCAACATATATTCCAATTTAGTCTTAGGATGTAAGTCATAATTTGCTTATACAAGTAAGTACTTGACGTCCCACTTTGTTGTAATAATAACATTTAGTACTCTTGCTATGTAATTGACACATTATTTCTGACTTTAGAATCACAATTAAACACAAACGAAGAAGAAAAAACACTGTTCTCCTTTCTTTTTGTTCTCTCTCTTATGTAGGCACATGAGGAGCTTCTGAGTTTGCAAATTCCCTTCACTGACAAAGAGAAGTTAAAAGCAATAGAAACTAGGCGTGCTTTGTGTTACTTAGAATTTAGAAGTTCCTTCTACAAAAAAAAGGGAAAATAGGTTCGAAAGGAATCTGAAGCATGCAATCTCCTCTTTATCAATGAAAGATCAGAAGGCTCCTTCACCTGATTTTCTCTATTTTGATTTTTCCTTGTTCTTGGATCCTTGTCTCTTCCCTGCTTCACTTCACCACTGTGCATGGCCAGTCTCTGTTACCAGAACACTGTTGATGTCTCTTTGTTTTATCTTTTTTCTTTTGTTCTCATCTCTTTAATCTTTTCTCATCTTTCTCCCACGGGCCACAACACTCAATTTTGGAGATTGAAAAAGGTAAGGAAAATACTATTTGCGTGTCCAAATCTTTTTTCCCTCGTGATGCAAATCTACTTATTTTCTTTCCTTCCTACAATTCTTAATCTTTTTCTTTCATTCTTTTTTTTTTTTTTAATCTTTTATACCAAATAGTATACACGAGGGAAAAATTATTTTACTTCGGCTATTTTCTTCAATTAGAATTTGGATACATAATTGTTTTATTTGTAGTAGGGAACAAATAAATTAAAGTTTTCCAAAGAGAAAGATAAACAAAAAGGATGGATAGTGAGAGGGAGGGAGGGAGTAGTGTAATTTAGTTTTTAAAAGATTATGATTAATACTTTGTAAAAGTGATTTAGTTCAAAAAGAAAAAGTAAATTTATCAGTTACATTTTCTATTTTTAATGTAAATACTTTTAAACATAAATGAGTGACTGACTTAAAAATTAACCGATTATTTGTCACTTAAATATTAATTTGTTAATATTTCAAAAGAAAATTATGGATACCCTAGCAACTTCAAGTCGAAATTGAAAATCGAGATAATGTCGTAAGCATGATAATGTCATAAGCACGTAGGAGCAAATCATTTATAATAATTATATTATAATTAATCAATTAAAATTTAAAATTATATAAAATTTATTAAAATATTATTAAGAGTAATTAAATAATTAAAACATTATATTAGAAAGAATTGTAGTTGAAAAATGTTGTCATATCTCAATGTTCGGGTAAGAATAAAGATTTTTTATATAAAAAAATCTGTTACGATATAAAAAAAAAAAAAAACACCTTATAAATAAAACTGCTTATGAAAGCCTTAGGGAGCCGTTTTTTTAAAAGATTGTAGCAAAATTTAAATAGAAACCATTGCAAATGAATTATCATTATGCGCTCCTTTTCTACTTTTAAAAGTGTTGGATTTAGTTTGAAACACTCAACACGTTGGCCGGAAGAGCAGCGAATGCAATCCTTTATAGATATTACCGTCAGATTCATATCAAAGTCGCAGAGGATCGGCCAAGAATGATGTATATTATAGGCTAAAAGAATAAAAAAAATTTCAAAATTTTATTATTTTATTTAAATAAATTTTTATATTTTTATCGTATTTAAATAAGTTTTTAATATTTATTTTATATTCAAATAAAAATTTTATCTTTTAATTTATATTCAAATATGATTTAATAAGATAAGTATAAACATAAATTAATATTTTGTTGGAAACAAGAATTTATTTAAATATAAATTAAAAAATAAAAATTTATTTTAACCTATATTGTATCAAAACTACTTAGGCAAAGATGATCTGGCAAAGGGGGGCAATTAATTAGAATTTGGCAAGTGGCAGAATAAAGACACGTCAACCGCTACGAATTTGTTGACAGCTGGGCAAATGACGGGACAATTTTTTCGTAGTAAGATAACAAATCCAGCTGCCAATTCTGCCAAATTAGCGCCTAATTCGACGAATAAGAAGGCTCCATTTGGCAAAAGAGCATGAATGACTGTTTCGGATAAGTTTATCACTAACTATAAACCACCATTCGACCAGGAACTGCCAAACTAGTTGTTGATTTTGTGGAAACGGCTCTCTGGCTAGCT